ATTTGTCTAATCTCAAATTTTTCGAAAAAAACATGCACTTTACAACAGCGCTTGTATCAAATTTTGTTGGAAAATGCACAATTCCCACTTGATAAAGTGAAGAAGTCGAATACTTTGTTATCCGGAGTATATAATTATTATGCGATACTATTTCTTGAATTTGACCGCGACAGGACTAGGAAATGGAGGCACGTCTGCGAGAAGCAAGAAGGAAAGCTAGACAAATCGGAAATGAATTTTCTACGGCCGGTCACACTTCATGTGGATCATTTTGAAGGCGGTTTCATTTGAACCATTCTTTTGGGTCACAGGGAATCATCATTTGCGAGAATCTAGCAGATCTCTTCTGCGAGAAGTTGCGCATAGTTCACTTGAACGAGTGCTAGAAATTGGCTAGTCCGTTCTTTCACACTGCTTAGTTATTCCATGGCAAAACTATTGTGTGCCTGATTTAGAAATTTCCAGGTGGCAGCCTGGTCAATTCACAAATACTTGCAATCGCTGCATGGTAATGATGTCGGAGACAAGCCGAAGTTACCAATGTTCTACACACCCATCGATGAGGTGGTCTTTTGGGCTCACTTATCCACCTCAATGGCCTAAATCAATGACTTTAGGTTGACATATCAGTGGAGATGTGTGGCGTAAAGTTCGAAAATCCATTTGGACTGGCTTCAGCTCCGCCAACGACTTCGGGGGCGATGTGCCGAAGAGCGTTTGAGCAAGGCTGGGGTTTTGTGCTGACAAAAACATATGGTCTTGATAAGGTAGAGATTTTGCAGATTCAGCGACTATTTTCCGAAAAAGCCGCAATATTTAGGATCTAGTTACAAACGTATCTCCTCGAATTGTTCGGGGATCGACGTCAGGACCAATCTATGGCCCGAACCAGGTAGACATGAGCGTCGCACTTGACTTATGAACGATTGCAAGCAATGCTTTCAGGGTTCTTTCCTTAATATTGAGCTTATATCCGAAAAATCAGCTGCATATTGGCTGCAGTGCATCAAGGAACTCAAGCAAGACTTCCCAACGAAAATCGTTATCGCATCCATCATGTGTACTTTCAATAAGGTATGGTAATTGCAGAGTTCAAGAAAATATTAACAAATCAATACTTTTTTATTTAGGAAGATTGGGAAACTCTTGCTAAACAGAGCGAGGAAGCAGGCGCTGATATTCTCGAGCTGAACTTGTCATGCCCCCATGGAATGGGAGAAAAAGGTCTGGTTTAGTTTCTTTACCTCAGCTTGCTGCTTGAAAGTCGGTTAAATTCGGTAGCATCTGCCATGAAAAAAAA